CAGGTGGCACCCCTCCCCTTCCCGTGCACGTCCAGCGTCCCCGCAGGTCCCCTTCGGCTGCTGCCCGGTGCCCGCAACCTTCCCTGCAGCCCCAGCCGCTGCCCAGACCTGTGCCACCCTTTCCTCCCTCCTCCCCTCTTAGCGGCCCCCGTAAGTGAGCGGAGTGCCGAGTCCTGGTGCAGAGGGAGTCCGGCGGGCCCGCCCAGGGCCACTCACAGGTGCGGGAAGAGCGGCTGCGCAGCGCAGGACGGAGCTCCGGTCGGTCCCTGGGGCGGGCTGAGGGCGCCGGGGAAACACGGGGTCTGTCCCGGGACCGCCGCCAGCTTATATAGCTCCAGGGCCGCTCCGGCTGACGTCAGCGAGGGACATGCACCGGTTGTAGAGCAATGACGGTCGCGGCTTCGAGTCCAGCGGGTCCCCCGAGGGGCAGGTCTCTGGGGCTTGCGCTGCAAGCGATAGCGGACTCCAGTGAGCAAGGCGCTGGCTGGGGCGGAAAGCTTGCCCTGGGCGCCATGAGAGTCGTTCACCACTGAGAACAGTCTGCAGTGACCAGGCCGGTCCCCAGACCAGACCAGACCGCCAGTCTTCTCTGGCACAAGAAAGGGCGGCCGGGTCGTGGGGCTGTCCGTGGTGCTGACCCTGCCCTCGGCCCCCAGAGGGGTCAGGGGCATTGGGAGAATGCTGTGCTGCACAGACCGTTTTGTAAACTGAGGCAACCAGGACAGCGCAGCTGGCACTGAGCCATCACCACGGTACCCACCCAAGAGGCAGCGGAGGCAGGCTGAGTTGGCCAGGATTCTTGATCTTACTCCAGCCCCAGGATCTAAATTCTCGGGCTGACTGGGCACCATAAAAAAAGATTTCTGGCCTCAGCATACTTTCAGACCATAAAAAGCTGACCCATCTCTTCTGATTTTGCCCCAGAGTGGTAGTTCAGTCAAGTTAATTTTTCTCCTGGGAATCATAGTAGCACCATCACTGTATCTTTGACTTCCTGGTTAAGATCCCTTGGTAGAAAGTTAGGAAACATGGTGTCTTAGTCCATTGGAGGTGCTGTAACAACAAACAAACAAAACTGGGTGGCTTATAAGCGAGCATTTATTTTTCATAGTTCTGGGGACTGGGAAGTCCAAGATCACGGCGCCAATGAACTTGGTGTCTTCTGAGGACCTGCTTAATGGTTTAGATGGCACTTTTTTGCTGTGTCCTCACAGGCAGCTTTTATAAGGGTACTAATCCCATGAGGGCTCTGCCCTCATGACCTTATCACCTCCGAAAGGTCCCACCTCCTAATACCGTCACCTTGGACATTGGGTTTTCCACCATATGAACTTGGGGTTATACAAAAAAGTGCAACCTCTAGGACATGGGTTCAAGTTTCTGTTCTGCCACCAACTTGTGCTGTGGACAGGTCCTCACTTCTGTGGACCTCATTGTCTTCATCTGTGAAGGCGGCTTGGTGGTCTCTAGGCTTTTCTTTCCATCTCTAGAAATTGACTCCCTAGTATTTCTCTGTTGGTCTTACTCATGGCCTCTGCAGGTTCCAGATGACATTTTTATAGAGGTACCGGATTCCATATTTATGGAAGTACCACATAAAGAGTTTGAGGGGATCCCCAAAGAACTGGAGCTACACTAGGGTTGGAAATGGTTGGAGAAACAACTATATCAATGAACAGTGGGGATAAATGGCATTTGCCAGGATATGGGCATAAACTAAAGTTGCCAAGATCATATGGTCCAACAAATACTATGGACTGCCTATTATGTGGCGGGCCTAAGACCACAATAAAGATTTTAGTGAATTCAAAAGGAGTCGTTTACAGTTTAGAGTGAAACGGGCCATTTCATAGTGCTGACCCCATTACGTTCTGACCAGCAACCAAACCCCATGAAAACTGATGTGCCCACTTTGAGGTCATCTGACCATTCCAGGGTCAAGCTGCATCACTGCAAGGCAAGCTTAGAGCTGATGCGCCTTCCAGGACAGGTAGGAGTTCCAGACAACAGCAACACACTGCACAACAGCCAACCTAGGGAACAGGAATGGCATCGTAAAGAGGATGGATAAGGAGACAGCAAAGGGGGAGAGACAGGAGAATGTGATGGAAGAGGAGGTGTTATCTCTGAGAACATCCACATTCAGATCTCCTTCCTCTAGCCCTCTACGGAGGGATGTGTGGCTCAGACCAGAGGACAACCAGCTCAGGGCTGGTGCTGTCCCAGAGCTGTTTCCTGCACAAGAGCCTCGAAGTGAAACACCCTCAGCAGCCATCTGGCCTTGCGTGGCTCTTGTTCATGCCCCTGTGCAGGCTCCTTCTAAACACACGTACCTATGCACCTTGTACCAGCTGAGAAGACGTCTTCAAAATGTACTATCTGCCATTGAAAGTAGCGCCTTCTTCTCTTTATTTTACCTTGTTTTAGTTTCAAAGACTGTTGCGAGGACCCTCATGTTTAAATTTTGGTTCATTAAATCTATATTCCTTTTAGCTATGCTATTCATGCACATTTTGACCATGTCCTCTCTTAAGAGTTTTGTATTTTTCCCTGTTCCCAAAGCCCCCTCACTTGCAATAATTTCAACTAGTCATCTTGAATTCGACTTTTTTAAATTGTAGTTTCAGCAACTACCTTTATTATTAGGGTAAAATAATATTTTGCAGTGGACTAACCCGACCTGTGGACTAAACTCACCTATATGGCTCTTTGGCCTACCTTTCTGTCTAATCTAGGCTGCAGCCCCTAGGTACAGTCCCTGCAGCAAGGGTGAAGAGCTCAGGTGGGATGAGCCAATGGCTATGGAGCAGGACCCTCCCTGAGATGAAAGGTCAGTGGGAAGATACTCAGGAATCTAGGAGCTCTGATCAGGGCAGAGTATTCTGGGGGCGTCTAAAGTAGCTCAAGCCCCAGCCGGCTTGCCCCTATGACCCTTGGACTGAAGGGTCCCAGGTTTGATTCTGGTCAAGGGCATGTAGCTTGGTAGCAGGCTCCATCCCTGGCCTCAGGGCGCATGCGGGAGACAACCAATCGATGTGTCTCTCTCACATTGATGTATCTCTATGTCTCTCCCCCTCCCTTCCACTCTCTTTAAATAACAATGGCAAAAATATCCTCAGGTGAGGATTAACAAAAAAACCAATTGAAAAATAAAGTAGCTCAAGGTTGAATGAAAATCTCTTTATCTACAACTGTTCACAATGTGGCTCTCCCTTGAAGGGTAGGGTAGGGAACTGTCATACCTGTAATAAAGGGGAACCAGGTAGAAGTTGGCTAGCTGCACAGCAGGCCAGAGCTACAAGAGAGAGAAGGTCAATGTTGGGGGGCTGCCTCCATTACCCAACCCCATCCCGAGTGAAACGGGCCATTTCATAGTGCTGACCCTATTAAGTTCTGACCAGCAATCAACCCCCATGAGAACTGGCCCATGTTCAGTTGTAAACAAAAACCAGCTGAACAACTGGGTGACTGCTCCCGAGTGTGCCGCCGCACTGGGAATGAGAGACTAATCCCAACCAAGGGGTTTCTATGTCAGGAGCACCCCCAATCCCTGGGCACTTCTGGACTCAAGGAAGCAGGAAAACAGGCTGCGGAGGTGTCAGCTCTTACATAGTAGTTGGCGATGAGGGCATCAGGATAATCCTAAGGAGACAGAGAAGGAAGAAATTACTTGCACTTCCATGCAGCTCCTGCCTCCCAGTCCTATCACACACAGACTTCTGTGCAAAGAACACATATCTTCACCACACCTCCCTCACCCCTCTCCTCCAGAGCTGGGACTCTCCCTGCACATCCACCTGTCTTATCCCCATGAAGCCTGCCTCATTGCCCTGGGCATGCTAGCTGGACAGCCAGAGATCGCCCCACACCTGCCCAACTCACCCGCTGGAGTTTGGCCCAGTTGTCCTGGGCTGACAGTCCATTGAGTGCCCCTGTCAGTGAGAGGAAACTGCCTAGAAAACATGGGGCAAAGCACCCCTAGGGAAGAGAAATGAAAATGCTGTGAGCACCTAAACCCCACTGTCCCAATGCAGCTCACCCTTCTCAACCTCCCTTTCCTTCTGCTCACCTGATCCAACAACATCTTCTTTAGAGCATCCACCTTGGTGGTGCCAGGGATGAGCCGGTCCAAAACCTTGTACCAGCCTCCTACTACAGGGCCCTGAAAGTAACCCCCAGGGAGGGGGCAGGGATGCAGTGAGGGAAGCAGTTGGCTTTTACAGCACACAGCTCCTCCCCCAAGCGTTAGAAACCAAATCCCAGGACAAGCATACACTCAGGTTAGCGTAGATGTGCGAGAGGCCAAGGGAAACAGACCACCAGCAGCCCTGCTATGGGCGAACTTACCACAAAGACACAGCCCATAGAGGCCATGGTCAGGGTCCGGCTAATCTGGTGTTTCCGCATACCTCGCCTCTCCACCAGCTGCTGTGAGATAATGTCACCCAGGCCCATCAGGGACCCTGTGCAGGGTACACAGGTGTCAGGACACCTCCCGGATGGGCTGCCACTCCAAGGAGCTGGATAAGCCTGCTGACTGAATGGGGCTCTGGCACTCCGGGCCCAAGCGCTTATTCTGGCCAGTCTCTTGCTGTTTCCAAGTTCTCCTCTCCCAAGGATGGTGACACCTCATGTGTCTACTGTTAGAAACTGTGATGAGCAGCCCTGAGCAGGGCAGGCCCGAGAACTCTGCACTGAGCAATCAAGTGAAGTCAGAATCAGAAATTGAAGCTAGAGGAAGGAGAAATCTAAGGTACCAGGGGCTGAGAACCACAGCCTGTCGGAATCAGAAAGGCCTTCCACATAACTTAGAGGTATGGGAATACAGGCCTGCAACCTCACATATCCAGTAAGTGGCAGAGCCAAGGCACAACCAGGTGGTTTGATTTACTAGACAGTATTCTTTCCAGGACACCACACTATGAATAGGTCATGTGTGGAATGGTAAGGAACCCTGGTTTTTTCCCCAAAGCCGAAGACAGGACCCTGGTCAATGTCCTTCACCTTGGTCTTGGGGTCTCCAGTTGTGGATAACAATAACTCTTTTTTAAAACATGAGTGTTTGCCCTGACCGGTTTGGCCCAGTGGATAGAGCGTCAGCCTGCGGACTGAAGGGTCCCAGGTTCAATTCCAGTCAAGGGCATGTACCTTGGCTGCGGGCACATTCCCAGTGGGGGGTGTGCAGGAGGCAGCTGATCCATGTTTCTCTCTCATAGATGTTTCTAACTCCCTCTCCCTCTCCCTTCCTCTCTGTAAAACTCAATAATTCATATATATATAAATCATGTTAGGAAGATGACTGGCTGAGGTGGTAAGAGTCCCCATAGGGAGGAGTCCTGGTCACCTCTTAACACAATCAGGTAAACCCAGTTTCCCCACTCACAATCTCAGATTGAGCTGGCAATAGGTGTTATAGCCATTTCTCCCGCAGCTTCTATACCCGTTTCCTGCCCGCCCCTCCCTTCGCTTGCACAGATACCCAGCTCTAAGCAGCCCTTGTCAGACGCCCATACCAGAGACCAAGACTATTTACAGAGCCCCCCTTCAGCTATGGTGGCGTGATGGTTTCTAGCAAATACACTTATATATATAGGGCTGCTTGGGAGTGACCGTATGATCTCCAGCTCGCCTGTCCATCTCACGCAGTAATGAGAGTCCCCCTCCAGCCCCGTAGCCACCACTGTCCTTGTGCCCTCAATTAGCACTGGGCAAACACATCCTTCAACCCTTTCCTTGGCTGGGAGCTGGCTCTGACGTCCGTGCTGGCTGCACACTCACTGCTCTTCCCCCGCACCCTCTGCACAGCCCTGCCCCTGAGCAGCCTCGTCAGAGGCCACTGGGCAAGGCTGAGAGCTAGAGCTGGGACACCTGTAGGTGACCGAGGCTGCCGGTCTCAGCACACCCATTAAGACAGCCCTGCCTCTCCTCTCCCTGAAACCCCCATAGTGGTGGAGGTCCTTCCCAGAACATGACTAGTTGCTACCTGCCAAAGGACAAGGACAGGATCCTAGGCATCTTTATTCTCTCATCCTCATACGTAACCGAGCCCCTGGCAGGTGCATAGAAAATAAAGCAAGGAGAAATGTCAAATGTACTGCCCCGAACAGGCCTACTCTGGGAAGGGCATTAAAGAACTCTAAAGTCGAGCCCAAGGACCACGTTGGGCTCAAGGTGTGAGTTCCAGTGGAACTGAAGGCTTGCTCCCCGAGTTAGCACTTAACTCCCTATGCCCTTCCCTGACAACGGGGTCACCAGCTGCCCTCCCGGGCCGGGGAGGGAGCCACTGTGGTCATGCCTAAAGGGAAGAGTGACCCTGAGAAGTCCCAGGAGGATGGAACAGAAAGGCAGGCACTTGTTAAATGAAAAGACTGACAGCTTAAAATTCCCCTGGAGCAAGATGTTTAGAGTTTACAAAAGGCTCTCATACATTTCGTCCTCACAAAAGGTCTGGGAGGTAGAGGTCCCACATCCACTTGTCTTTGAGAGAAGAGGGACTTGATGAGAAGTGGAGCTGGGGGCCTGAACCCAGGCCTTCTCTCAAGGAGGAACGGGAGGGCCAGGGAATTCCCAGAATAGGCGGAGACTTGGCCATCGGGGCCAGAGGGCGCCAAAAGGCTCCTGTGGCTGCTACTCGCAGGGGGGTTCCTGCCTTCTGCCGGAAGCAGGCCCCGGAAGCCTGCATCTCGAAGATACTCCTGTTTTTTACTCCCTAGAATGTAAGACTATCTGTTCCTTGTCACCTGTGGGGAGCGAAGCAAGATTCCTGGGAAAGGAACTGTCACAGAGACAGCTGTGTTTCCACTCTTATGCTTGCCCACTGTCAACAGCAAGCTCAAGGCCGAGCAGGAATGAAAACCAAAGTCCCAATTCTAGCCCCGTAGTCAGGCAGCCTTTGAGAAAGAGATTCCAGGCCCCTAACCACGCACACCAAACCCCAGACACCCCGAGTGATAGGGCAGCAGCAGGAGAGGTGGTATGTAGCTCAGTAGCCCCGCCAGTTCTGTCCATTTCAGACAGGACAGGACCGAGGTTCCCTTCTGCCCACAAATTATCAGGCCCCTGGGCCTCAGCAACTCCAGGGTGGTCTGTGGTTTCGGTCCCAGCACAGAGCAAAGCCTACACTTCTGGTCCGAGTGACTGGGCAGGAAAGGCTGACATTCAGATTCCGTATTCCATCTTCCCCAGGCCCAGGTCTGGGAGCCCTTTTAGGCATATTTGGTTGGTCTGGCCCTCCCGGTGCTCTGGCCCTCCTTTCTCTGGGCTTGTTCCCAGGGGGTTGGGGCTGGAGGCCTGCAGAGACATACTGCCTGAGCCCTGACGGGGCAGGGTGAGGGGCTGCTGGCCAGTGATGCCCCAAAGCTAGGCTGGGCACAGAGCCCAGCAGGCAGACGTTGGCACTGGTGTGACATCATACCCCTGGGTAGGTGCCAGTTCTCATGCCGTCACTCGAGACCGGATTCGGCAGAGTGGGGGCGGGTTGGGGGGGGCGGGCTGCCTCTGAGCACAGAGGTAATTGGGACCACTCCTCTGTCCACTAGTGGAAAAGCCCCAACTTCTATCCCTCTTCCTAGGTCCAGGTGGGAGTAAGTTCTCTATTTTGTTCCTCTCCTGGCTTTTGTGCATGGAGTCTTAGGGGCAAGAAAAAAAGTGTTAATGGAAGAGAACAGGCTGGGGGGCAGAAAGCTGGCATGAAGGGCAGGAAGCGTGTCCTTGGGAACAGGAGACCCGAGCTGTCAGGTAGAGCTGCTGGTGTGGGGCCAGTGGTGCTGTTGACTCATTCCTCCCCAGAAGCCTCCGACAAGTCAATAGCTGCCTGGCATAGGGGCTTGGTCTGGCAGAGCCCAGAGGGAGCTGGAGCCCCGCAGAAAGGGGAGAGTGCATCCTCTGGGATTGGTCTGAATGTCTTCCCCGTTTCTGACCTGGACTATCTATCCTACGGCTAGAAAATGAGACCAAACAGAGGGTTCTATAGTGTAGACCAGCTGGGGCTACACTCAGCATCCTGAGTCCCCAGGAGTCTCAAGTGCAGGGCAGTGCACTGGCAAGCGCCATAGGTTCTAATGCCAGCTCTACCACTGATGATGTGAGACCTCAGTGCATGTCCCCCTCCTTGCCTCAGTTTCCTTTTCTGTAATATCAGGGGCTGGACTGGATGAGCTCTTACATCCTGGTTTAATTCAGACTCCAGGGAAACCAGTGTCTGCAGAAGCTCAGCTGCTCCCACAGCAGGACCAGGTTGGCTAAGATGCATGGAGTTGGGCCTTGGGTCCTCTGAAGACTGGAAAGGCCCTTAAGAAAGGATGGGAGAAGGCGGACTCAAATTCTGCAAAACACAGCAGACCTTTGCCCAGGCCACCGTTCCTGACTCTGGCTTGGTCCAAACTGAATGTATCAGACACTTCTTTTGAACCATTTCAGATCTTCTTGATTCACTTATCTTATTCCAGCCATTACAGCAATTCAACCTGATCGATTCTTGCCTATGCCACATCGGGGGCTGCACTGTAGATGCTCTACTTGGGGACCATGCATGTGCAATTTGGTAGTACATGGGCATTAACATCCCATGTGGCGAACCTTTAACCAATGTGAGTTGGCAGCTAGTGGATAAAGGTTTCTCCTTTTCTCCAGAAAAGACTACTCACCTATGTAGTCCTAAGAGGCATTTCAAAGAGCTTCCCAGTCAGTTTTAAGGGACTGAGCAGCTAGGTGCCTTAAGCAGTGTCCAATTTAACAATGTGTCCTTATATCAGCTCTCCCTCCTCCTTCCTCCATGGGCCCTTATAAAGTACTTGCACAGAAGTTTCAGGTTCTGCTTTTTGGAGAACCAAGGCTAAGATAGTGGTCCATGTTCAGATTTTTTTAATGGATTGGTTTTAAAGAGATGAAGGGAATGAGATGGAGAAGCATCAATTCATCGTTCCACTTATTTATGCATTCATTGGTTGCTTCTTTATGTGTCCTGACCAGAGATTGAACCCACAACCTTGCCATATCAGGACAACGCTCTAACCAACTGAGTAACCCAGCCAAAGCTCATGTTAAGGTTTCTGGCAAGTGGAACAAACCCAATCCAAATACCTCTATAAAAAGAACCGCTTGCCCGGCCAGTGTGGCTCAGTAGTTGAGCGTACACCTATGAACCAGGAAGGAGGTCACGGTTTGATTCCCCATCAGGGCACTTGCCTAGGTGCTGGGCTCCATCACCAGTAGAGGGTGTACAGGAGGCAGCCGATTGATGATTCTCTCATTATTGATGTTTCTCTCTTTCTCCCCCTCTCTTTTCCTCTCTGAAATGAAAAAAAAAAAAATTTTAAAAAAAGACTAGCTTGCTGTGCCTGGGTTGCCAACACTCAGAGAACACTCCAGGCCAACTCCTGGAGCCTTAGTTTATTAACAGTTTTAAGTCTCTAAAGCCTTCACAGAGATAATCCCTACACTTACTCTGTGAAATCATGTAACTAAACTCAAGTTCTAAATGAGGAAACTGAGGCTCAAAGAGGTTTATTGACTTGTTCATGCAGCTACTACTAACTGCTATGGCTCCGAGATTCAAATCATGGTCTTCTGATTCCAAGTCTGAAATCTCTACTGTTTAGGAACTACTGTGCTGGGATCTAAAAGCAACTGGGTGAGCAATTTCCACCTCCTCGCTTTCCTTTTAGTTTGATCCAACTGAGCAGCAGGAAAGAGAAGTCTGAAAGGTTTGGAAAAGCCTGAGAAAAGTGCTACCCAGAGGTTGCTTTGGGGATGAGCTGTTGGCACTGCCTCAGAAAGACTGCAGGTGTGGAGCCACAGGGCTGTAGCCCCGGCAGACAAGTATGTACATGATTAAGCTTCCCGCTGGGCTTTCCCTTGTGCCCATTCCCTCTCCCCCTCCTGCTTTCAGCTACATATCTGCACTTGGGCCCCTTGGAGCTCCAACTCCTGCCCTGGTCAGCTGCAGGTGCCTTGAGTAGGGACTATCCTTCCCTTCTTATTCTTTTTTTCCTTTCTTTCTTTTTCCCCTCCCTATTCTTAATGGCCAAGGGGAACCTTCCTTCCGGCAGCTAGGGGCCCTGAGGGAATCTGAGGCTGGGCAAAGGGCCGAGTGTCAGTTCCCATCACAGCCACACAGTTCAGCATGAGTCACCACACACGCAGCCAGGTGAGTCATACAGGCTGACGGACACTCTGAGGACAGGACATAGGGTGGTTGGGCACAGGAGGCTGGAAAGGGGCCGGAGGGCGAAAGAATCCACCTTTTGGACAGTCCCCCAATGAGGTGTCTAGTGCTGATGTGAAGCTATTCTAGTAACAGGATCACTGTTCCATCCTGGTTTTCAGTATACCTCCCCCCCACCTTCAACAGTCTTCCTCTCAGAAGCCCATGTCCTCATTAGAATCCCGTTCCCTTCCTCTAAACATGGTAACCGCCCCTTCTTAACCTGATCACTCTTTTTTTTTTTTTTAATATATTTTATTGATTTTTTACAGAGAGGAAGGGAGAGAGATAGATAGTCAGAAACATCGATGAGAGAGAAACAT